CTGCTGAACTCACTGGGGCTCTCCTGAGCAAGCCCCAAGATTAATCTTCCTGTAACCTTGTTTTCCCATTCATGTTTCACATGCACAGTTCAAAGATAAAAAGACAGCCTCCACCTAATGCAGACAAATCAGGACAAGAGTTTCAAGGAGAGAAGCAAGAGACTCGTGCCAAGACACACAAAGCACAGTGGGGTGTGACAACAGCAGTAGAGTATCCACAGGATTTTCCAGGAGAGCTTTTGTCCATGTTGTGACACATCACAGTCCACGGGGCTTTCCTTAGGTGGGGAACACCAGCTCTGAGCTCTGCCCACCATGAGCTGTGCTGTCTTTTCAATGCTGGGCCCACTCCTGCTCACCTCAGAAGCTCCAGGCATGTGAAGGGCAAAGGAGACAGGGAGCAGCAGTGAATCACAGCTTTACTAGCTGAATTTTGTCACTTGGATATCCTTTGATCTGCTCTCTTCAAATTCAGATGGACCTAAAATTGCCTGGCCTGGGAGATTCAATGAGGGCTGCCCCATGGGCTGTCCCAGGACCCACATATTCAGCCCCCCTCAGCTACCTCACTCTTAGCAAGTTTGCCCAAGTGGTCTGGGACTCACATGTTAATAAGCACCCTCCAGCCAAGAGTGTGCTACTGGCTGTGCCTCAGTGCTCAGACAGACAAAACAAGGGCCATGGATGCACGACTGAGCTGCTGAGCTCTTGGGGTGCTGGCAGTGCCAAGGACTGAACCTTTGCTGGATTTCTCAGCTTTTTTTCCTTGTAGTTAAGTGTGTACCTCAGAAACTCTCCCCAGAGAAGGACATCAGCTGCCTGCAGTGTGGTGAGCCAAGCCAGCTCAAGTCTTTGCAGAGGGTGCCACGTCCAGGCATCCTCAGGGCCCTGATCTGCACCCAGAGCTCTTCCCCTGCTGCTCTTCCCAGCTGGACTTTGAGGCTTTGGGGAACACTAATGGCTCAGAGAGCAGAGGCTTCACCTGATCTTTAAAGGAACCCACACCACCCCCAGGCAAACACTGTGCTGGTTAGAAACGAGGGTTTGAAGAGTAACGGTCCCTTGAAGGAAAGGTTGGAGTCAGAAAGGTAGAAAGTCACTGAGAGATGAAACACCAAAGCTTCAAACTATGGGAAGGTGGGAGACAGAAAGCCAAGCAAAGAGCTCAATGCTGCCCAGGTGCTGGGGCAGCCCTTGCTCTCAGACCCAAGGCAGAGGCCCCACACAGGCATTCCTCCTCATCCTCCCACAGCTCTGTGGTGCAGCACAACTCTGCCCTCAGAATTAAAGATTAGGAGTCTACAACACTTACCCCAGTTTTAGTGGCAAGAGCTGCCTAGAGAAAGGAAAGAAAATTGTCTTTAGAAACCCAGAAAAGCCAGGCAAGAACCACAAGAAGCATGGTCAGAAAAGCAGGGCATGACCATTTAGTGCCAAAAAAAAACATCCAAGAAAAAAATGGAAGGATTAAACTTTACAAGAGATGCCAAAAAGTTGTTAAAGAGATTAGCTCAAGAAAGTAAAGAAATGCGTCAAAAAGCAAGAACAGTTAAATCCAAACCCAAAGAAGAGTAAAGAAAATAATGCTGAAGTGTTGCTTGTCTGATACCTAAAGCAGCCAGTTTGCTTCTACAAGGGAAAAGCAGGCTGAAGCCTCAACGTATCAAGAAGAAATAAGCAATTGCAAGGGCAGCTCAAAAATCACCAGCACCAAAGAAATGCAAGAATCAAAACAAGAGCAAGAAAAGCACAAGGTAGAAAAGGGTCAAAAAGAACAAGAGGGGAGAAAAAAAGGAGAAAAGGGTGAAAAGCAAGGCTTAAAAGAAGCAAGATGGGAAATGGCAGGTTTACTCCATTCTTTTAATGCTGCTTAAGAAGAAGATCTGTGGGGTGTTGAAGGTGGAAGAGAAGATAAAGAGGGATCTAAAGCACCTCTTCCAGGCTGCACAGGTCGAGCA